GAGAACGGGTTTGGCACCGCGCCAAACTCATCCCGCCTGACACGCTCAACTGTCCTCCACTATATCACTGAAAAAATAGATGTGTGATATCGTGATACAGGAACGGTTCCAGGTGCATTTTTTGAAAAACGCTGTGAAGATCTTGTCCTGTTGCGAAAATGAGCCTAAGTGTTTTCTAATGATCTAGAGTGATTTTTTTTCGTAAACAGAAATGGGATGTAAACCACAAAGAAGCCGGCTTACCGTATCAGGATTTTCGGTTCTATCAGACTTTAACTTACCTGTTATATTATGTGTTCAATTTTATACCTGTTTTCATACCGCCGTTGGAGTTTAGTTCGTCGGTACGCTTCAAATCTGTACGCCAATGTTTGACGTGAACACTGTTCTCGAGAATTACGGTCTATTTGGTGTCTTCGTCGAAATCACCGTGATTGAGCTGGCTAACACATATTTTCAACGAGATGCCGTTGCAAATCCATGTCCAATAGTGAGCTCAATTTCCTTCCTCCCAGTTAAACTAGAGCTGATTTTCAGAAGTTAGTTGACGGCAATTTAGGTCACGTCATGCTACCGCCGCTCAAAAGCTGTTCGACGAGCCGCGTACGTGTTCCTCACTCAGATGCTAGCGGCCTATATCTCATTCTTTCTTGCAAGAGCTTTCTGGAAGCTGCAAATTCATCCCATTCATGCGGAACTCCTCGCCGCTCAGCACTGTACTGCGGATTTGACGGTAAGTAACATCTTTTTTGGCTTGCTTCTGAGTGGAGAAACTGAGCTGTCTTTGTTTCCTCAATTTGTCATATTATTCCATCAATGATGTGATGATTTTAATTTTCAGATTGCTATTACCACTGGCTGCCTCATCGAAGGTGGAGCGACATTTTTAGGCAAGTACCATTTTGAGCTTTGAACAGTTTTCTGACATTGATACCGCTATCTACCGGTCGGATGGAGATAAACCGGAGCACGTGGAGAAGTCGCCAATGCAGAAGGGTCGTGTTTGGTCGCTGGAGGGAAGGAGCTGATACTTGGCCTAAGGAGAAATTCTGATTGTTGGGCATTCCACTGCACGCGCGCTATATGTCTATGTACGTTTGCGTCTGTGTGTCAACAGTTGAAGGCAGTTGGCACGATAAATCCCCAAGGCGACTAGGATCAATAATTCCGCGACCCTGGGCAGGCGCTGCATAGCGGTTTCCCGAGGAAGGTGCCCTTATAGGGGCCCTATCAAGCCACAACTTTACGTCCCAAACGCCCGCCACGCCCCCCGCCCACCCCGCCCACAAATGGACGACCGTTCCTGACGCTCGTATTCATTCATTTGCTAAGCAAATTATGAAGCAAAGGATTGGTATGAAGCGGCCGTGATGCTGCATGCATATATGGGTACACATATGCAGCCGTACCTTCGGTAGCAGTGGATTGGTAACGCATGCATACGGGAAATCGTCCCGACTCGAGTTACAGCCACTGAGAACGGATTTCTTCGGATTTTGACATTTCAGTTTCGTATCTCGGTCGCCATTCTCCGCTAGTAGGGCACTATACAGCGCCCTAACTAGCATTTTTGGCCAGTAGGAAACCATCGTGCCAACTGCCTTTAAGCGAAAGGTCTTGACGGAAGTTGTTGATGTTTTTCGTGCCCCTTCTCATAGTGTCCTCAAGAAAGTTTGCTTCGAAGCTTACGTTAAAACTTGATTCAACGACCTCGTCCTCTGCCTATCATAACTGACGATTTTCTCCACCGAATAATAGTTCACAGACATGTCCGTTTTTCGCGACGCCCTAAGTTTCCATGTGGGATCTTTCTGCCTTAGTTGTTCATTTCCAAACGTCCTCCTCCCAATGTGCCTCGAGCGGTTACAGGGCACTTGTCAATCAGACATGTTATCGCTGGGAGGGTCGAGAGGTATTGTCTCACGTCATCCACTGGCCCAGCAGTTGAAGGGAGAATGCAACGCTGGAGAGAAGATAGAAGGAGGAAAGGAAAAGAAGGAAGAAAAAAGAAGGAGGAGGGAGGCTTCGTGGTTGACGAGTATCCTGTGACGCTTGAACTGTGCACTCACCTCTGTGGGTCTTGGTCCTTGCCGTGTGCAAGATGAATGGATCCGCAGCATGCCACTTTCTCCCCTCATGTGGAGGGGTTTGGCGGTTGGTGATGATACCCTTGTGCATTTTCGGACTCCACCCACGCTATCCTGATGCAATACTTAAGTCGATATGAAAATCTCGCAGCGGACAGTAGGAGATAGAGAACAGCCTGATGTGTGAAGGTAGCACGTTTTGCTACTACGGCTAAGCCTATGTTCTATGCTACAGTATTAACTGTTTCAGTTTTCTAATATAATAAATTGAGCAGACTACTAACAAGGGAGGTCTTTCAGGTCGTGGCGCGCTTTTTGGAAATGGTTTGTTGCTTGTTGTAGGGGTCCATACAAGGATCACAAAAATGGGTTTCATTTTTGCGTTTCTGGTGAGGTC